TAAGAAAAGATTAGATAAGTATGATATTTCTATCCTGCCCGATTTACAAGCTCTCGCAGATGTTATGATAATGCTTTCTATACGCCCCGCTGAACTTACAACTTTACGCATTACAGACTCTGGAGTAACAGGTTATGCGAAGAACAGAGGTCAGCCAGATATTTCTAGAAAATTTAGATCTATGGAGAAGGATCAAGAACGAGCCAAAGAATTACTAACCTGGATACAGAATGCTATATCTTCTGGTCGAATGGGTAATCCAGATAAGCCAGGAGTTAAATGGTTCAATAGATTCTTAAAGGATTATAATTTAATTCCTAAATATTTACATAAATTAGGAGCAGTATATGCTGTGGTAATACATGAGGCAAAGAATTTAGCACATGCGATGACAATTGCTGGAAAAGCCTTACGTCACAATCCTGACAATAACACCTCATCAGCACAAAATTACATTATTGTCAATTACAGAAAAATTGGACAATCTACAGATCAAGCAAGACCATTCCGCCTTTATGATGATGATAACTAATCATGCTTCTTTACTTTTACTACATCCACAGTAAAATCTTCATTATCATTAGACGATTCAGACCCAGACCCAGATGTGGATGAGAATGAAGATGCAGTATCACTAAAAATTATCTTTTTTTAGCCTTATATGGTATACGATTTCTTTGAGAAATATTCGGGTTTGCTATCGTGTTTATAATATTTTGCTGAATTTCGGGTTTCACTATCTCCAGTAATTGGCGAAGAGAAATCTGAATTTTTTTTATCCGATACTTGACTAACAATACTAGATATCGCATTAATAGTATTCTGTCGCTTTGTAAAAGACTTGATCACTGTTTCAATACTTTCACGTAATTCTTGAGACAGGTGAACATTGGTCGTCCCAGCTCCGCTGATATTATCTTTAACCATTGCTTCATTTATAACAGACAGGGACAATTATCCATTACCTCGGGTCGATGAACTTTTGGATACTTTAAATGGATCATCTTGGTTTACATCGTTAG